AGTGCCATTGGTCATAATAAAGAGTATTACAGTGACTACTCGGTGTCCCAAATACTCACCTCTCCAGTTTGTCTGTCATGATCCATGCAAGGTTGTCCATCTTTTGGAGAATAGATGGTGTACCTAGAGGGGAAAAAAGGGCGATAAGCAGCAAATATTGTTATATTATTCAAGTTACATCATAATGTATCAGCGAGTATCACTAATATATTACAAGTGTGAGTTGTGACTAACATCCTCAACTAAGCCAGTGCCTAAATCACTCATGCTTTGATGAGTAGTTCTGAAAATGTAGTTATTAATATCTCCACCTTCATGAGAGAAAGCACTACTGAAAACTATGGATTATCCTTAGCTTTGCAGTAATGAAACGTAAGAGTATAAGATAAATTCACATAGCCAGGCAGTGGTGGAGCATGCCTTAATCCCAGAGTTCAGGAGGCAGAGGCAGGGAGAGCTCTGTGAGTTCAAGGCCAGCCTGGTCTACAGAGCAAATTCCAGGATAGCCAGGGTACACAAGAAACCCTGTCTCAAAAAAAGAAAAAAAAAAAGATAAATTCATATATAAAGTGTAAGTTGTTTTTACTTGATCTACATTGATCTACATAATCAAGGAAGAAACTTAGCAACTTATAGAAGTATAAGCTAAAACACAAATAATTTTGTTAGTGGTTTGCTAGGAATATTGAACAGAATCATCCCATTCTCTCTGGTTCTAGTTGTCAAAAACACAAAATAGCTCAGAGAAGTCAAGACACTGCGCAGCAGCGAGGAACTGGGAATGCAGCTCCGTGACAACACATTTGTCAAGCAGGTGCAAGCCCAGAGTTCAACACAAAAATGAAAGTAGAAACAGGCAAGATTAAAGGAAAACAAGAGCTGCAACAGAACGAGATGAGAGTGATGAAAAAAAAAAAAGACAGACAGATAGATGAATGGGTGGATGGACAGATAAGAGAGAATAAGAAAATACAGGGTACAGGTACTGAACTCCAATGCAAGAATTATGATTTTTAGTTTATTATACTGAAACAAAACAAACTCACCGCTTCCCAAATTTTATTTTGTTTCTTTCTCTTAATGTTAAAAACTGCCACCTGACAAAAGAATCATAGTAAGGATTCACATCCGTGGTGATGAATGAACGCCGCCAGTCTACCTATAGAAAGAAAAGGAAAAGGTAATTTTTATAGATAAGGATTCCTATGAGTCAACTATTTACCTTTCTACTATTTATTCCAACTTAAAATTAGATCAACTATTAAAGAAAAAAATCTCTAGTTCCACACATTAAACACATATAAATCATTAAAATAATTTGTTTAATTAATAGGTTTTAAAATATACACACTTGCTGAGCA